TATATCCACAAGGCACTAATTAAAAAAAAAAAAAACTATACGTAAATAGCAGAAAGACTAGTAGAGTAGAGGGAAGGGAACAGGGAGGGAGGAGGGAGAGAAAGGAAGTACAGGGAACTGAATTAGAGCAAATTATATTCCATGTTTTTATAGTCATGTCAGAATGAATCTTAATGTTATGTATAAATAAAAAACTAAATTTTAAAAAGGGGGAAAACTCCGCAATTCTTCATGCCTTGGCTTTCTGTATTTTTTTGCAATGCAACCCATCCGATTTTCCACTGACTGATACTCAAAGTATAGTCCACAGACCAGCCACATCAATGTCCACAGATTAGATGAAAAATGCAGACTGCTGGGTCCTGCCCCAGACTTACTGAATCCAACTTCTTTTAATGTGCTCTTCAAGTAGTTCTCGTATGCGCTCAAGTTAGGAAAGCACTGCTCTAATTTTTCTCTTCCTGTACCTAGATGGCAGAAAAACTTTTCTTTAAGCAGAACCTGAAAAAGCCCTCAACCACTTTTCTCATAAAACTAATTGAATAGCCTTTTAATGGGATCCTATCTTCAAATTTGAAATATTAGATCAAGGGGCTGGGGATGTGGCTTAAGCGGTAGCGCGCTCGCCTGGCATGCGTGCGGCCCGGGTTCGATCCTCAGCACCACATACCAACAAAGATGTTGTGTCTGCCGAGAACTAAAAAATAAATATTAAATTCTCTCTCTCTCTTTCTCTCTCTCTCTCTCTCCTCTCTCACTCTCTTTAAAAAAAAAAAAAAGAAATATTAGATCAATATGGGGCTCTTGGCTTTAAATCAAGTCCTCAGACTTCCCTCTCATTATCCATCCACCTTTTTTTAACATTTATTTTTTACTTGTAAGTGGACACAATACCTTTGTTTTACTTATATGTAGTGCTGAGAATCGAACCCAGTGCCTCACGCATGCTAGGCAAGCACTCTACCTCTGAGCAACAACCCCAGCCTCTCTCCATCCATCTTGTCTGCCACATATATCAAGGAAACAAAAAAAATAAAAGACTTCATGCTTGGTAATGTCTCAGCAGCAGATCAAGCTCAGGCACAATCATCTAAAAGCAAAGACAGTGGAGCATATGAAGAAAGTTCTTTCCTCAGGGCCTTTTGTCCCTAAGCCAGCAGGATCTACAAGAGCCTGAGAGTGGCTGAAAGGTGAACTGTGGCACCATCCTCTTACTCTTGCTGGGTCTCCCTTTTTTATTTCTCCTACAGCAGATGTCATGGGCAGAGCCCTACTCCTCTGGCCTTCATGATCTCTATTGGAAGCTCCTACAGCTATGGTTTCTTTTTTGTGTAGCAGACAGTTGGAAAGCCTCAAAGACACAATTTAGCCACTAGAACTTCTGCAGCTTTCAGGAACACGTCTCTTATAGTAGATCTTAAAGCAGCAGGCATGCTTTTCTTGGGTGTTACACAGGTCCCTTGAGCCTTATTCCTGCTAGGTTTTTGGTTGTGCCCAAAATTCTCACAAGCATTTCTCTCAAGCAGATGGGAAACCAAATGTCTGTGCCAAGAGTACCCCCCAGCTAGGTTTTTTTTTTTTTCAAGTGTTCAATATTTTATTTGGAAACAACTTGGTTGCAAAAAAAACTTCAGTGAATTCAACAGATAGAATACCTATATTATATAGAGATATAGATATATATTAATAGATACTTTTTTAGTTGTTGATGGACCTTTATATATTTATATGTGGTGCTCAGAATCAAACCCATGGGGCTGGGGATGTGGCTCAAGCGGTAGCGCGCTTGCCTGGCATGTGTGCGGCCTGGGTTCGATCCTCAGCACCACATACAAAGATGTTATGTCCACCAAAAACTAAAAAATAAACATTAAAAATTTTTAAAAAATCAAACCCAGTGCCTCACACATGCTAGGTAAGCGCTTTACCACTGAGCCACAACCCCAGACCCACAACACCTGTATTATATTGAGACTACTGTCTGTATTCTAATTTGCCAGTTGACAATAGTCTCATGAAAGTGTCCTTTACAGCATTCTCCCCTCCAATATAGGACTTAGTTTAGGATCAGGTATGACACTTGTCATGCCTCTTTAGTCTCCTTTAATCTGAGAATTTTTCACATTCTTTTTGGTTTAATCCCCAGCAACACACATATCTTTGAAGAGCGCACTGGGACTTTTTCTTAATAGACTGCTTCTAATCTGGTGTCTAAGGTTTCCTCATGGCTGGGTTCAGGTAATGCATTCTTAGCTAAACACTGCATAAAAAGTGACAGATCCTTCTCAAATTATCACATTTGGAGGCACAGGATATCCACCTGTCCCTTGGATATGTTGATTCTGGTCACCTGGTGTGTTAGTCAGTTTCTTGTCATTATGACCAAAATACCTGACGACAACAACTTAGAGGAGGAAATGCTTATTTGGGGCTATTTCAGAGGTTCAGTCCATTGTTGGCTAACTCCATTGCTCTGGGACTAAGATGGGGCAGAATATCATGAAGAAAGGTTCGACAGAGGAAAGCTTCTCAATTCATGGAAGCCAGGAACAAAACATAACCCCCAAAGGCATACCCCAAATAACCTTCTTCCTCTAGGCATGCTCCACCTGCCTACAGTTACCACCCAGCAGTCCATTCAAATTATTAATCCATCAAATGGATTGATCCACTAATGAGGTTACAGCTCTCACAATCCAATCATTTCACCTCTGAACCAAAATCTAAATGTCTCTTCCTTTCTACCAAGACACACCATCTCTGCAGGCATGAAACCCTTCAACAGACATAAAGAGATATGGGGTGAAGACTGGAGAAAAACTGAAACACTGAGTGTGAAAGGTACAGCCAATGCAGGAGATATGTTGACAGCTCCTCTTAGCATTAAGAGGATAGATGGAGGAAAATTTCAGGTAGCAAATTAAACCCAGACAAAAACAGAGAGCAGGGCAAGGGAGAATATCTAGAAAGTAAATGATATGAAATATAGTACAGAGCTGTGTGTTTAGTCAGCATCACTTGGCATGAATGTAAGTTACCACCATCATTAACCAAGATATAAAATAATTTTAGAACAAAGTCAAGACACAAGGATTTCCTAGTAGGTAGAACTAGAAATGATCTCTAATAAGGTTAACTCTAGGGTCAAAGTCAATGTCTGCAGAGACCTGCCCCTTGCATGTCTTTACTATGGTGGATATTCCATGTTGGGGAAATGGGGTGAAGAGACCACCCAAACCTCCCTCTCTTGGATACTGGAGGTCTTCTTTCAAAACAGGCTTGCTCAACCTTCCTCTTTACCCAGGAGGGACACTGATTCATTTATTCTGTTACAAAGTTGCAGAGAAGAGCCTATTCCCTAATGCTTCATCATGAAGGAATTGCTTACTGAAATGATCACATGGTTGGTTGTTGCACAGGAAAACTGTCTACATTAATGAGCCAGCCTGAGCATCCCGGGGACCCCCAGATACAAGAGATAAGTATACCTGTCTAGTCACATTAATCATCTGATTTCCCAGGGAAATCACATCCAAGAGTACTCAAACAGCTTTCCAAAAGCACTGGGATATTTCTTGCTCATGTTCTATTTCTCATTTTTGAAATAATGAATAAAACAGAAATCAGTGGAATGACTGCACCAGGTAATTGAGATTTTAAATGGTTCTGGCTGAGGAAAACTGACCTGCCAGAGTTAATTTGAGGTTCTGACAGAGGGGAGAAGGGACTCAACTACTTTCCTCACCACCCAAATCCAATCAAACAGTGGAAGCATAAAGGTCAAGGGTTCTTAACTTGGGGTATGGACAGAATTCTGTACACCCAAAAACTTAGAGGGGACAACATTTTTATCTTTCTCTTCACTAACCCCTCACTGAAATTTAGCATTTATCTTAAGCATGAACACATGTAATAACCATGACTTCAACAAGAAGAATCAGATGCCTTATCACATTTTAGTTCCTACGGATTTTATAAATATTTATGCTTATTACAATTTCAAAATTATGGAACTTGACCCACCACTCAATTCAGCTATGTAACAAGTTAATAAAGCAGCCCAAATATTAAACCATAAGTTTTTTAAAACTAATAACTCATTTTCTTGTAATCCTATTTAATATATTTTAAAACATGTTTCTAAGAAGGAACTCTCAGGTTTTGCCAGGCAGCTCCAGAAGGAGCCCAAGGTACAAAAAAAAGGTTAAGAACCCTTGATGGAAGCTTCCATGTTAGAAACTGAGAATGCTACAACCTAGATTTAAATTGTGCCTACCATGGGACCCTCAGGAACATTTCATACTTGGACTGCTAGCCTACTCAATGACTGGGCAAGACAACATAAATGAGTTGGTTCATTAACCAAAGGCACAACAATGTTAGAGATTATTTGATACAAAGACACTTAGCAATAGGGTGGGCAACAGGGTGACTGAAGGGGGTCAAGTGTTTCAAGGTCACATAACAGTTCCAAGTCACATAACATACCTATCAAATAATACAGCCCAACCAGCCTCTTAAACAGTGCACACTTAAAATGTTGTTTCAAGAATATATGGTAACATGCCAGCCATGGTGGTGTCCCTCTATAATCCTATCTACTTGGGAGGCTGAGGTAGACAGATCCCAAGTTCCAGGCCACCCTGGGCAACTTAGTGAGACCCTGTCTAAAAATACAAAATAAAAAGGGCTGGGGATGTAGCCCAGTGGTAGAGCACTTGCCTAGTATATACAAGGCCCCAGGTTCAATCTCCAACACCACAAAAAGGAACTTGTGCCACTATGAAAATCAGTACACTAGTGTTGCCCTCTCTGAGAAAGTCTCACCATAAGGGAAAAAAAAGGTCAGCTGAAATAAAGCACTTAGAAATCAAAGAGTTGGTTGATGGACCAGACTTTGGGTAGCATTGCTCTGATGCCTCAAACAAAGGCCAATGACATAGGACACAACACCCCCACACACAACTCCCTGCCCTCTTTAAAGAGTCAAGGGAACAAAATGCAACTGATTAATTTATTGACAGATGGTAGAGAGAAATGCAAACTCTTGTGTCAGCAACAGATAATGCAAGCAAGGACGTGATTTACTCAAACTGCACAGAAAGGAACAGAACATTTTATTTTGACATCAACAGTGCTTCAGCCCATTAAAAACACCTTCAAACCAGCCTTCTACCAGCCCAATTGGATGATCATTAATCAAGTTTTATAAATATTCAATCACATTTCCAAGAGAAAGCAGCATTTCATTTTTTAAATAAATCAATACTTGATATCTGGTGATGTGTTGAATAGAATTTAAACTATAGCCATGTTAGTCTTGTCTTTCATTAAAAAAGCAGCTACAGGATACAACAGTATATTCTAAAGGACACCTTAACACTATATAACACTGCAGCCATTAAAATAAGATAACAGTGCTAGATCATTTAACATTTCCATAAAAGGCAGCAAAAGCCAAGGTGAATTTAGTTGTCATTATTCAGTTTGCATGCTTTTGTTTTAAAATAACAACAAAGACGTTCAAAATAATCAGACATCATCCTTTCTCCAACACAAAGAAATGGGTTGGATCAGAATTCAATATTATCACCAAAGATAAAAATATCTATCTTTCCATTTCTTTCTTACCCCTCATATCACTTCCCTTATTTTCTCCCAAATGCATCTTCCCGTGATCTGGCACAACCTGACCCACTTAATTTCTACCTGTCTCAGTTCTTAACAGGACCTGTATCACCAGACTTATTAGTGGATCTGGTGCCTTGGAATCAAGTTAGTCCTCAGGTACAAGGTAATGCACACTCTAATCATATCATATCAAACAGCAGATACATTTGGTTTCTTTTCTAAAATGGAAAGAAAAAACACCTCCATTCTATTGACCTCAAACAGTGTTCTAACAGTAGCAGCAGCATCATTTTAAAATCCTACCCAACATACACAGCCTTTGCATAGCACTATAGAAGAATTTAAAGGCACAGGAAGACCAGTTCCATTTTTAACCTATATGTGTACAAGAAAACTATGTGTTCAGCTTATCAAGTTTCAATGTGACTCTCTAACTCCTTTTATTCTACCTTATTGTTCCTCACCAATCCAATAAAAAAGAACATTTTTAATATACTACACCATTTAATCATACCTTGGGGAGAATGTTCTATGGTGTCACTAATTATATCTCAACTGGATATTTCATTTTTAATGTTTTGCTTAGTATAAATTCACTGTAAATGAAATGATTCCACTGATTAGTATAAATCTTTATAAAACAACAGGATTACCAAGTACTGTCTAATAATCCAAGTCACTATAAATTCCCCTTTGATATTGGACTGTTACCCAGAATACAAAAGCAAGCTCTAAGTTATGTGCCCTTTCTTAGTAGTTTTTAAGTCATTCTTTTTGCCACAAGCCTCTCCATAAACTCTATCATGTAGCTATGCATCCAAGAATCTTCTCAAAGTTTCATAGCAGCTATCCTAAATGATCTCATTTCTATACTTAATATACCAGTAAGAGTGGGGATAGAAATAGGCTTTTGACTTTCAACTTTACAGTCAAGCAAAATTTCTTGCTATCCTCAGGTCAACTTTATAAGAAGGAAGTGGTGAATGTAATGGGCTGTGTATCATTTACCACAGTGCTAAATGAAGTCATTATTACTGTTCAAGAAAGGCCCCAAGGCTATCCCATTATAAAGAGATAAATAGTACCAAGTGCTATACAGAAGTAAAAACAATCTAGGAAATACCTTTGTTCTAAGCCAGAAGGAGGAAGAGGGGACTGGGCTGGAAAACAAAACAAAACAAAACAAAACAACAAAACACATGAAATGTCTCCTTTGTTATTTTAATTGAAGCATTGCTATTCATTTTTTAACTTTCTTATAAGCACCAAATTTTGATATTTAAATCCATTTTGGGGGAAAGAAATCAAACCAAGAACTTCCCTCCAGAACAAAAAAAATGATGTTCATTCCTCCAAACATCCAAATTTAGGTCTACCAAAACTAAAACAAAAAGAAAAACAAAAAAACCCACACAGAACTAAAAAGTAACAAAAATCACATTCTAGGGTCAGTGCACTTCGCAGTCTTTGCTGTACTATCTAATTGCCCTTCAGCTGACTTTCCAAAAATAACACCCTAGCTCATCAAAATATACATTTTCCATTTGCTTTTTTAAATTAAAAATAATAATTAAAAGAAGAGAAACTTTAAGGAGTTCACAATCAATTGCCCGACTCTTTTTAATGTCATGTACAGCATTCAGAGGTCAGGAAAGCTGTTTGCAGCACACATGATTAGGGGATATTCATCTTCAAGGTTTAGCTTTCTTCCAAACAGTGTAAAATACCCACCTGGACTGAGAGTCAAGGAATGCAACCAGATAATTCAAGGAGGAACAGGCATCACTTAACATTTGTGTGTTGGCCTACAAATTGGAAGATGGATGAAAACACTTCATGGCTTAGAGCATTGTGATAATGAGAATGAAAGCCTTTGAACAAGGCCACTCTAAAGTGTGAGATTTCTGAAGGGAGCACTAAGTAGACAAAAGGCTAAAGAAATGCACAGATGCTCCTAGGTATCACTACTGCTTACCAGGTCTCACAAAAGGTTTGGGGAATTGGTATGAGAAGGAAAGGAAAGGAAAGGAGGAAGGAGTGAGGAAGTGAGGAAGGCAGAGAGAGGGTGAGCAGGGAGAGAGGCGGAAAAAAGGGTAGAAAGAGGGAAGAAGGGGAACCATAGGACTGAAACCTTTTCCCAAATGTTACCAACTGACCTCTCAAATGTCTTAAGCATGTGAACACTCACCTGAATGAACAAAAATGCTCCTGTAGGAAATTATATTCCATACCCTTATAATTATGTAAAAAATGAATCCTAATGTTATGTACAACTAAAAAGAATGAGTGAAAAATGTTCCTGAAGGGAAACCCTGAATCAAGCTGAATGGTAGGAGACACTGAATCTTTCTACAGGCCATGGAAGGACATGGCTGCCTCACAAATGAGATGATCCCCTTCCTCTCATGGAGGACTTAGGGAATTCTTGCCTCTTGCCCAGCATCTGGCCTCAGCAGGCTGCCTGTGCTCTGCCAGGTTCTGTCACTTCCAGCCTTACCACAGGCTGACAGCGGGAATCCCTGAATGAATGACATAATCTTCCTATGCACATATATGAATACACCATAGTGAATCCCACCACCTTGTACCTCTACAGAATGGGGTCCTAAGTAGAATAAGATATAGTCCATGCTTGTATAATTATATCAAAGTGGACTCTACTGTCATGTATAAATAAAAAGAATTTTAAAAAGAGTGAATCTTTAATCACTTAATTTTTTAATCATATTAAAAAAAACTGCTGTCACAGGAACCTAGGTTCAGCCATAGTCTGCCTACTTTTTAGAAGAAGGAAATACAGTGCAAATTTCCAACAATGATGCTCTAATTTTGGTTTCTCTCCATGTTCTTTCCTTTGTGATTGGGACTAACTTAAGTGAAACTCATGGAGAACACCAGCATTAACTCTGCACTCCCGGCATTATTTCAGCTCTCGATTTCTACTGCAATTAGCAGCAAGTGTAGAAACTAACATTAAAGATTGATGATTTTAATATGAGTAAAGTGTCTCTAGGATTTTTATCTGCCACAGGTGGGGCAGCATTTTACACTTGAGCATTACAGGTGCACACAAGTTCCCTGGAGGACTGGTGAAACAGCTCACTGGCCCCAGCTCCAGCACTTCTGATGGGGCAGCTGGTCAGGGTGGGTTATGATAATCTGTATATAAAACAAGTGACATGGCAGGTCTGGGACCACCTTTGAGAACCTCTTTTTTGGACCACTGGTACTTGATAATTAAAAGCACCTGGCAAACTGTGGCAAGCCACACCCAAGAGTCTCTAAAAGAATAACCCAGAAATCAGTTTTTTAAAAGCTCTCAGCTTAGTTTATATACCAAGGATCTATTTGTTTATTACTAGGATTTAAAATATTAAACTAGCACAGGATTGACTTGGGGGTTCTGATCTGACAACACAATGTCACAATCAAAGGATACAATTCCAAGTATGAAGGGACACAGACGATCTCCTTTGAGAATTCCACAGGACAATAGAGGCGCCCGAGCTGTTCTTCATAGAGTGACAAGGCTTCAGTCAAATTAACACAGTTCCCCTAAATCAAAGAAAGAAAAGCAAACAATGGGATTCTTGAGTCCTAGTCATTAGAATGTCTCTAATAAAAGAGAAGAATTTTAGCCTGAGATAAAAGTTCATCTTTACAAATGAGATAAGGCCTCTGTACTTTCACAAATTGCACAGGATTCTATTTATAGACTTATTAGCTCATTCTCCTTCTACTTCATTTACCAAGCTATTTCAAATTATTAGAGTATGAAGTAATAGAAAGCAGTGAGACCAATTTCTCATTAGTGACACAGTTCACTGTATCTGCACCATGCAATTTAGCAAAGATTCATACACATAACTCATTCAAAGTAAATTTTTCCAATAATGGTCACCATTGTGTAGAAAATGAAGTATTAAAAAAGACAGTGTTCTTGCTTTCCAAATGGTTTAAACTACAACACTAAGAATCTAAAAATGTTGACAAGGAACTACATTCACAGTTCACGCTTCTTTCCCCAAATCTGTGATTTACCTTAAGGCACATGACAATAAAAGTTTATTCAGGATATATGCTAAGGATATCTGCCCCCTTGATTGCACTCTTTATCAAAAACTTTCTTCATTGTCATAACTTTTCTCCCTTTTTTGGTCACCACTTTTTCAGTCTCCCTAGCAGCTAGGGATGGTCAATGAGATACAGTGGAAGTCTGCTAGAAAAACTTTTGATTCTAAACAATCAAGAATAGAGGGAGTGATCTGCCCCTTCAACTCTCTTACAGTCTATAACCTGGAGATGACATTTGGGGCTGCAGTAGCCATCCTATGTTCACAAAGGAAAAAGGGTAAAGAGAATCAGTGATTAAATCTGCCTACCTCAAGAGCAGTGCTTTGCAATCTTTAATGTGCATATAAACCAAAAGGGATTCTGTTAAAATGCAGATTTTGATTCACTGGTTCTGGGATATGGTTTATCATTGTTACAGCATAATCACTACTACCCTCTGCCCAGTGATTTTCACTTTGGATTTAGAAAACAAGATGGGTATATTTAATATCACCTACAATTTTTTAACCATTGAGGTTCTTAACATTCAGAATACCACTGAATCTGTATATTAACTCCATTTCTTCTTCACAAGAATTATACTATTGATTTGCCTCAAAATAGCCAAGTAAGGCAAAATAATATACAAACAAAGGCACCCATAATGTGAGAATTTCTGAGAATGGCATTTCAAAACCAACCAGCCAGCCAGCCAGTCAGCCGTGGACAAGAGGTTAGAACTATTCCAAGAGCTGGTCTTGGTGGTTTAACTTAGCACATTCGCTCAGCATGACGTTGCCATTCAGTGCCAGCCTGTTTAATAACACATCATCTAGGGTCATGCAGTGGGATTTGGCCAAAGTGTCCTTCACCAGCATATAATTTGGTTTCAACATCAAGTTCACCATGAGAGCGTATAAACACCACACGTGTAATTTACGACTCATAAATAGAAAATGCTACCAGTTGTTTTTAGAACACATCACCACTGGGGAAGCTGCTATAGAATGGAAATGCCACCAAGGTGCACAGCTGAAGGGTTTTCTTTTCCATCTTAAAACTGACACCACACTCTTGCTTTAAAGAGGACACATGGGAGGACCTCCTTATAGAGAATGTGGAAAGGAAATGGGAAAGCTTCAATTTGTTCTTTCCCAACACTGCCAAGAAGCAATTTTTAAGAAGAAAAAAAAAAAGAAACTCTCCACAAATAGAAACCTACCCCCTAAAATAACATGATACACATTTTACTTTGCTATCTACTTAAATAGAACACTTTTTCTTTTATTTTTAAGACACATAGGGCATGCAGAATGGAAACCAAAAATAGCAAAAAAGCAAATGCCCCTTAAGGATGAGAGAAAGAGATGGGACAATAGGTAGGAACATAACTAGGGGTTAAACTTCAATTCGACAGCTTTGGCTGCTTGTCCCATGTTACGTGTGACAATTTATTTTTTTATTTTATAGATTTCTGTATTGTTTGTACCTTTTTAAAGGTAAATTAATTAATATATTATTTCTTTTTTAATATTTATTTTTTAGTTTTAGGTGGACACAATATCTTTATTTTATTTTTATGTGGTGTTGAGGATCGAACCCAGCGCCCCACGCAGGCCAGGCGAGCACACTACCGCTTGAGCCATATCCCCAGCCCTAGTATATATTGTTTCTGTAATGTATAAAAAGAAAACTGAAGAACACATCCTTGGCATACCTTTTAAAATCAGGTTCAAAAGCAAGCAAAACTAAGTTATATAGGAAATCACAAGTATGTGAACCATCTATAAAGAAAATATAAGAAATTTTTAAAAATGATACTAAGGATGGATTACTTCCAAAAGCAGCAAGTATTAGGCAGGAATATAGTTTGCATAAAGAGTACTGGTAATGCCCAGTTCAAGTTGGGTAGAGTGGTCAGGTGTCTGCTATTATTTCACAGCATAATTTTACACTTATTTTTTATGCATCAAATAGCCTATCATTTTAAAAATAGGGTTGGGGAAAGAAGGCATGTGTTCAAGTCCCAGAACCTTCCTCCTAATCCTATGAGAACAATTCCTCTCCAATTTTACTTCTGACAGCCCCACCTGGACCAGCTCAATTCCCACAATACATTCCCCAGCTTCATGGCATGCTACTAAGGCTGCCTTCAAGCAGTAAGGTGACATCACAAACTTTCAATGTGATACAAGCCATCCTGGGCAGGAACATTTAGCTTTTGTGAATCACTATACAACCTATACAGCACTTTTATCCCATCCTTAACCTTACACTCCAGTTCTAAGCTGCACACTTCAGCAAGCAGAGTAAGCATAGCAATAAATTAAGGGTATTGCCCAAGCATATCACTCTGCAGTTTAAAGAAAAATCAAGGGCTGAGGATATAGGCTTTCCTAACATGCATGAGGCATGAAGCCCTGGGTTCCATTCCCAGCACCAAAACAAATAAACAAAAGCCTTCACTGGTAAGTATATCAATATATCCTCAATTAGGCTACCCTGCTTCTTGACTAGTCTTCAGCTTCCTAAAAGGCCTGCACACTTCATTCCATATGAATCTCAGGATATGGCACATTTCACTACTGGATTTACTCCATGTTCCCCAAAATGAATACCACAAAATGGATATCACAAAACGAGATCACTTTGTATTTCCAACTATAATGAACATAGAGACAGAAAACATGTTGTAATATATCTTCTGGAAAATTCTTGCAAAACAGCAAACCCCTGAGCACATAATACCTGTGATTTCTGAAATAAGTCAATTGGCCAAGGCAAGTTATCAAAGCCTGGATAATAAATATTTATGACTGGACTGGTATTCTAATTAAGCATTTCTATTAGTCTCCCATACTAAGCTACCAGTTCTCTACAGGAGTCAGTCTACCAGTCAAATGTTCAGGATGAAGAAAACAGTCACATTTCCTTTCCAACACCACCTGTTATCTATTATAAACTGACTGTGGGGATCCACATTTTTTCTCAATCTCCATTAAAAATTTTTCTTTTTGTCATTTTGAGACAGGATTTCACTAAGGTGCCTCAGACTTGTGATCCTCCTGCCTCAGCCTCCCAAGTTGCTATGATCTCAGGCCTTAAATTTGCAATCCTCTTGCCTCAGCCATTACTGATGTATGCCATGCCACCTGGCTTTTTTTTGGGGGGGGGGCTCTGTTTTTAGTTAAACATCTTTCTTTAACTTAAACCTGCATGAGCATTCTATTTGCAGAACCATGAAAGAAAAAATGGTATAAATATGCCCTGCTTAAGAAATTCCACTCACAAAAATGCCCAATTCACTGAATCTGGGTTGCTTTTATAATGAGAAGTCTTTGAGCAGCTTTCACTGTAGATATCCTATAAAACAGAGGTCAGCAAACTTCCTCTGTAAATAGCCAGACAGAAAATATTTTAGGCTGTGCAGACTATAAGGCCACCCCCACAACTACTCCTTGTTGCCATTGTAGCACAGAAGCAGCCATAGACACTATGTAATGAATGGGCATGACTGTGTGCCAAGAAAACTACAAAAGAAGCAGAAGGCCATAGTTTGCAGACCCTTACTCTAAATAGAATCAAATTTAGAATGTGTTAAAAAAATCACTTCTAAATATCAGGAGATAAATTATCCACTTATAGGTAGTTATGTACTCGCCTCAAAGCTTTGCAACTCTTTCACCAAGTGCAGAGACAGGATGAATCACTACATGCCTGTAGGCATTGCACACAGTGGGAAGTGGGAGAAAACAGAATAGGCTAGAGTCTGAGTTGAGGTGTTTCAAAGTTTTATATTATTCATATCAAATCCCATAAAAAGTCCAGGGTTGGGTAGGGTCTGGAGGTAGGAACCTTCCCAGGAAAATATAGACCTCTATCTGTTATTGATGGTGAAACATATTAACCTTTTTTTTTTTAAGCCACTGATCAATGGGTACAAAGTTAACAGTAAGATTGGAGCAAGAAATTCTGGTATGCTACTGCATAGAATGGTGACTATGGATAACAAAAATATACTACACATTCTAAAAAGCTAGAAGTAAAGGATTCAGAATGGTCTTTACCATAAAGAAATAAGAAATATTTGAGGACACAAAATTACTTACTGATTGAAACATTATCCCATCTATATTCATGTACTGAAACATCACCTGGTACCTCATTAATATAACAATTTTTATAGGTTTATATCTTTTAAAAATTTTAATTAAAAAATAGCACATATTACTTAACAAATAAAGCATGTATTTTTTAGTGAAATGAGTTCCCAAGATCTAAATACAATATATTATTACTTTGTAAAGTTGTTTACATATACAGAGTCATGTGATTAGGACTGTGGATATATGGTAGAATATGAAATACTGTTTATGATAGTGTTTATGATTTAAATAGTAGTGGGGATAATTTCCTGTGAACCCAGAAGAAGCCAGAGACAAGAGTGCAATACTACCTAAGCTTCTGGCTCAAGGAATTTTTTTACCAAGAGACTGAATTATCAACTAGTTATCTTTACTGTCACTTTCAGAATTTTATTAAGGATTTTAATAGGTTCTCTGTGTGTGTGTGTTTGTGTGTGTGTGTGTGTGTGTGTGTGTGTGTGTGTGTGTTTATAGAGATGAATAAATATACCTTCAAACATTCATTGAGAATTAAAAATTCACTAGAGAATGAGAAAAACACCACAGTTTCCTTCCATCTGGTGGCAGCAGTTCACACTACAGGCAAAGCTATTATTATAGTGTATGTTGCTAAATGGGCTTTTCAACCAAAACTGTCCTACAGAATGAGAGGGAAAAAAAGAACCACAATCTGTGTCTCCATCTGGTGGCAGCAGTTCACACTACAGCCAAAGACTAGGGTTGACAAATAAGGATAAATCTAGAGTGTTGCTATGAACTGATTAATTCTCAAGAGATGACAGATCAGGAATTTAGAAACTTACTACTTGAAAAAATATCATCCAGTGACATTGTTCTATCATTAAAAGACATAAATTTTGATAATACACAATCAACCTTCAAAATATAAAATTCTTATTCGGAGTCTTAGGAGAAAAAAAAAAAAACTTGAGTAGCCTACCTGTGTAAAATATTTCCCATCCTGTTTCAATACTTTCATTGAGAGGTCAAGAATCAATCTGAGAAACTCCCATGTGGAATCTGAATGTTAAAAAAATTAAATTTTATAAGTACAGGTTTGCATCAAAAACATCTATCACCAAATATTCACTCTAGTATTCAATAATACAAAAACAGGAAGGAAGATCCATGAGCTTGAGACCCACTATTAGAGGATTTGTTCATGAACAATAATGGAACAGTCATATAGTTAATCTTACATGCACACACACATAAATTCCAAGGTCAAAATCAAATTTGTATCTACTTAGCATTGTTCTCAAACCACCAAAAAAGATTTGACATAGGACGTCAAGACTATTGATCAGTGGTAAAGTGCTTATGTAGCCTGCAAGAGCCCTGGGTTCTGCTGCCAATAACCTTCACAATGCACCCAAGTAAAAAAAAAAAATTCCACACAAAGGTAATTGTTGAAATCTAAAACTGCTTCAAAGGGGGAAGTAGCAACATTGGGAGAGAAATGCAAGGGACATCAGATTGGGACCTCATTCTGCAAACTCGGCCAGTAAATCAAGTTTACAGAAAAAAACATTAATAGAAAACACAAACTAGCAGCAATTGGGGGCATGTGGTTTGAGGAGAATTGTCTCTTGTGTTGCTTACAAAGATTATCAGTTTGTCCCATTATAGGTAAAAAAACATTATTTAAATAAAATATCAAATAATTTAATGTCTTTGTATTGTGATTATGGGCCATTTCACTTAATGTTTGTTTCAAATGACTGAATTAATTCATTTAAAGGTAGAACAGGAATTAAAGCCAAATCCGAATCCAGCCATCTTTCCACCATGGCCCTCAGTTTAACTCCCTTTAAAAAAATGAAATAGGGGCTGGGGCTGTAGCTCAGTGGTAGCACACTACTCTAGCATGCATGAGGCACTGGGTTCGATTCTCAGCACCACATATAAATAAATAAAAGTCCATCAACAACTAAAAAATATTTTTTTAAAAAATGAAAGAACTAGACAATCTCTAAAATCCTTTCACCTTCACAAAGTGCCAGGAGAAAACATTTCCATTAATACTTATCTTGGTTAAAAACAAAACACAATCTACCTTCTTCTGGAGATGTGGAGATTGGAACAGCTGTCAAATCATTAATCACATAATCAAACTCTCTCCCTTCTTTGGCGTACCTCTTCAGTACTGGAATACAGTCTTCTATTAGAACCTTCCAGAGATAATAGGATTATACAAGTGAGCCAATACAAGTGGATGTAATTAAACAACACTTATAGAGGAAGGGGGAAAATGCAAGCTGGAGATTAGATCCACAACACCTGCCACACAAAAATAGACCTTCATCCATGTTTGTAATGGCAAAAATAAGTGTTCAGTATATGCCTCATATGCCTTCTCATTTCAACTAAACAACAATTCTACAAGGCCTGTTATCATCACCATTTTACCAATGAAGAAAGTGACTTAAGAGAGGTTACACCCAAAGCCACCCAATGAACAGACAAAAAGTACACCAAGAACTATCTGAAAGCCAAGTTCATATTTTTAACTCTGATCCTGACTCCTTCTCCTAATACTATCTGAATTTTCTTCTAGTTTTTGTAATTTATACTAAACACTGAATGACTTCATGGCTTATTAATTTTTGCATCTTAAACTATTAACCTATGGTTTCTGAAATATTGAGTACTATAGATAATTAAGTCATTTCATAAATATCAACTTCCACCATAGAAAAAGTCATCAAGAGTGGAGAATAGTAGTTAAAGGCTGAAATTTTCAGACAGATCCTGTATAGTAAATATAGTAGACTCCCCCTTATATGCAGTTTCACTAGGGATGGTTTTAATTACCCTTGGCCAACCTCAGACTGAATAATTAAATGGAAAATTCCAGAAATAAACAATTTGTAAGTTTTAAATTGTGTGCTGTTCTCATGATGAAATTTCACATCACTCTGTGCAGGACATAAATCATCCATTCGTCCAGAGTATATATATTACTACTAGTCATTTAATAGCCACTTAGTAGCCACCTCAGTTATCAGACTATTATAATATTGCAGAGCTTGTGTTAAAGTAACCCTTATTTTGCTTAATATGGCCCCAAAGCACAAAACCAATGGTGCTGGAATTTTGTTACAGTATGTTATTACTGCTGTTCTACTTTATTAATAATAGCTATTATTAATCTTACTCTACATAGCTTATAAATTCAATCTCATCATAAGTATACATATAGACATGGTATATATATATAGAAATTTAGAAATCTGTACTACCTACAATTTCAAGCATCCACTAGGGATCTGGGATCATATTCCTCCAGAATAAGAGAGGACTAATAAATTTTGGGTTTGCCTCATCTTTGAAATACTGAAGCTATATGCTGAGGACACACCTGGGTCTAAATAAAACCCTGAACGAGACAGGAGTTATTCTCCTCATCTGTTGTTTTCCTAATTACAAAAAAAAAAAAATCGCATGTACCAAGTTAGAAATCAAAAGTGTGCCACAATTCCCTATGATGACATCCTGTAGTTTTTAATCAGTCATAATTTTAAAAGAATTTTACTGTCCTATTGTTGTTATGACTTGTCTCAATGCATCAGAATAGTTCAAGTAGGCAAAGGTGACGTACTAACAGCATCTTATAATCTACATATTAATCTCATTTGTCATAATTTTCCCAGTCATATAGATTCTTATACTCACACACACCTAAACACAAATGTGTTCTGTTTTGTAAAACCTGAATCACACACATCATTCTCAACTTGGACATTTTTGTCTAACATTGTTTTTATCTTTATTATAATAATTGTATTTCTATATAATGAATTTTAAAATTATGCCATTTCACTAAAAATGTTCTACTCTTGTGATCACCAAGCCTTGGCCTCTATGAACATAACAAACTTCCTTCTCCTGATGCCTTCATCTGTGAGCTAGGTGCTCAAACACTGGGTTAGTAAGGTAATCAGTCACATGTGTTTTAAGTTTTCAGTTTTGGAAACAACTCATGTTCCAACCAACAATGCCTGCAAGCCACAATTTCCTTGCATCCTCCTAGCATGGAGTACTGTCCTAAATTTTGCCAAGTTGCTTGCTAATGTTTACAAATAAACTTCCTGGGTCATCAACAGGGGTAAGCATCTTGAAATATTTTGAAAAGTCATTTGACTTTCTCCTCTTCTAAAAAGTACCAGTTCATATTCTTTATTTTTTTTTAATTTAGCTAACTTCATTTTTAAATTTTAAGTGGTAAGGACTCTTTTTATTAGTCATGGAATCAAAACCCTATCATATTTGTTACCAGTACTACTCTAGTCTGTCTTTTGGCTTGGTAATGCCAACAAAACAGCATCCGCATTTTCTGAATGTCTTTTCTTAAAATGTTTCCCAATTCTAAATTTTCATAAATCTATTGATCTGAAATTCCTCTTTCCATGGTTTCTAGGGTTAGCTAACTTTCTTCTCATGCAGATGGCTAGCCCACTATGGCTTATTAAATCAATTAAACCTCCTTTTCCCAAGTGAACTGCAACATATCTTATATCTTAGGTCATGCACTAAGGATCATGTACTAACACTATATGTAGGGATACACACCCAAATATGCAAGTTCCTGTTTCATTCCTCTAAACTATGTCTAATCCTATGACATATTTCCTATTTGAATATTGTGACTTAAATTAGCAATCAATAGGGGCTGGGGTTTGACTCAGTGGTAGAGTGCTCACCTAGTATGTGCGAGGCCCAGGGTTCGATCCTCAGCACCACATATAAATAAATAAATTAAATAAAGATATTTAAAAAATTAACAATCAATAGGACAAGTCTCCCTTCAATATGATTATTTTCCAAAATCTTCTTGACTATTCTTAGATATCTATTTATCTTTTAAAATAAACTTTAAAATCACTAGGTCTAAGTCTAAATCTACTCCTTGGAATTGCTTATAACTACAAAAAACATAAACAGGTATTTTTTTCTCTTATCTGTGAAGGAAATAAGCATGCCTCTCCTCCACATATTCAGACTTTATGTGATATCTTTCAATAAGATCTTAACATAATTCAGATAACTCTCAGAACACCATTCGTGTTCAGTTTTTCCTAGGTGTTTAACAGTTGGTTATTACTTTGAATAGGATTTCCTGCTCACTCACTCCTCCCTTTTTTCAAACTATTCAGCATTTCAGCAGGGAAAATATTTTTCATCTGTCCCTATCTATCACTTTACCAAATTCTCATGAATCCAACTGATTTTCTATGGCTCCTAGATTTTTTACAGTGTTCATCTTCCTACCTGACTATATTACCTGCCTCAAAAACAACCATGAAGACAAATAATAAGCATCCTCTTTTTGTTCCTAGTTTTCAGGTGAAATAGCTTTTACCACTTATATTACTATAATTTACTACTGTTTCTTTTTTAATATTTATTTTTTTAGTTGTAGTTGGACACAATACCTTTATTCCATTCATTTTTTTAAGAGAGAGTGAGAGAGGAGAGAGTGAGAGAGGAGAAAGAGAGAGAGAGAGAGAGAATTTTTAATATTTATTTTTTAGTTCTCGGCGGACACAACATCTTTGTTGGTATGTGGTGCTGAGGATCGAACCCGGGCCACACGCATGCCAGGCGAGCGCGCTACGCTTCAGCCACATCCCCAGCCCCTCATTTATTTTTTTAATGTGGTGCTGAGGATCGAACCCAGGGCCCCACGCATGCCAGGCGAGCACTTTACCATTGAACCACAATCCTAGCCCCTACTATTAAGTTTCTGATAATTAGTTTTCTATTATGTTTTGATGATTCCCTCTAATGCAATTTTATTTTACTTAAAGAATTTTTATAAAGAATGACTGCTAGGCTGCAGTTGTGGCTCGGTGGCAGAGCAGTTGCCTAGCACATGTGAGGCACACAGTTTGATCCTCAGCACCACATAAATGAATGAATGTATAAAAATAAATAAATAAAGGTAATGTGTACATCTACCAAAAAAAAAAAAAAAAAAGAATGAGGACTGTGGTTGTGACTCAGTGGTAGAATGCCCTCCTAGCACACATGAGGCACTGGGTTCAATCCTCAGTACCACATAAAAATAAATAAATAAAATAAAGGTATTAGATCCATCTGCAACTAAAAATATTTTTTTTAAAAAAAAATGACTGGGGGCTGGGGATGTAGCTCAGTAGTAGAGTACTTGCCTCACATGCCCAAGACCCTGGGTTCAATCCCCAGCACCACCAAAAACCATTTAAAAAAAAATGACTGCTAAGTATTCTCAAATTCTTATAATTTGTTAATATATCACTTTGTTCATATAATGAATTATGTTAACTGTATTTCTCAAAATTCACGTCTTTACATATCTGAATGAAATCCTACTTAGGCACAATGTAGAATTCTTAAATAAGTTTGTACATTTTACTTGGAAAGCTTGTGTGTGTGTGTGTACATGCAAATGTATGATCAGTCTTCAGTTTTCTTGGTATACTACCTATACTTCAATATTAAAATTATTCCATAGTTATAAATCCAGGAGGGGTTTGAAATGTTTTCTATTGTTTAAACAAATGTGAAATAGCTGCAAAGTCTTAGCTTCTCATTAATGGCAGCACTTTAATGGACAAGGGACTTGCATGCCCCTGAGGGAAAGTGGTCAGGTAGGTCTTTCTTCCCCCACAGAGGAGGCCATGCACACAGCCCCCAAGCCTATCAACTCTTGAGAGTAATCCCAGCAGCTCAGGAGGCCGAGACAGCCTCCACAATGGTGAGGCATTTAGCAACTCATCAAGACCCTGTCTCTAAATAAAATACAAAACAGGGCTGGGGATGTGGCTCAGAGAGAGAGAGAGAGAGAGAGAGAGAGAGAGAGAGAGAGAGAGAGAATTCAAGTCAGTCACAGAAGAATTTTCCAGGCTCCCCCAGGTAATGGTGATGTTCCAGAAAAGAGGAAGATGAGGATGCACTCCAAAACCAACTCTCTCCAATGATGCCTTAACTAAAAGCAAGATGTGATTTGATACTATGAGTTCTTTTAACAGGTGAATTTAACAATATTCATTCACTTATTCTTTTTTAATTTATATTTTTATTAGTACATTATAGTTTCACATAATTGTGTTCATTTTGACAAATTCACAATTGCATAACTTATTTTGCTCCATTTCAATCCTCATTAAGACCTCTTTCTCTTCCCACCTCCCTCCCCCGATCTATATTAATCTTCCTTCTATATAACATTATAGTTATACATAAAAGTGGAATTGATTGTGATATATTCATATAGTATAATTTGATCAATGCATATTTACTGAGCACCAACAAACAAAACCCCAGTCGACAACTCAACTGTTTGGGTTTTTGCTTGTGGTCTTAATCTAGGTAAGAAAGCTACATAAGAAGGAAGGGAGATAGGAGTCTATGCTACACTCCTATAACCTTAAAGAAATTCCCTTTAAATTCTCTAAGTTTCATTCTCATCCTGGAGTTGAAATAGTACCACCAGTTACAAGTATAAAAGTTAAATACCATGGGCAGAGGGTCTGATTCATTGTTTGCAAACAGTGGTAACTTTAAACTCATGAAACAATTTGATTAAATATGTTAAATAGCTGCAAACACACTCTGAACAACCTAATTTACCCTCCCCCAACTGTAAGGATTGAACCCAGTGCTTCACATTTATTAGGCAAGTGCTCTACAGCTCAGCTAAATCCCACTCCTTTTTAAAAATATTATTTTGAGACAGGGTCTTGCTTGGTTGTCCAGACTGGCCTTAAACTTGCAATCCTCCTGCCTCAGCCTCTGAAGTAACTGGGATTATCACCACACACACCCCACCTTTAAGCTTTCATATAGTGAAGCTGAATTTATGTCTTTCTCCCCTATTTCCCATAAAACAATCACAACTGAATTTTAAGGTGCACAAAATTCCTCTCAAAAGACTAACATGAAATCATGAAATCAAATTTAGATGCATATACATTAGGGAAGGAGGTATTAAATAATTTACATATTAAATTAAAGCACTCATCAAAATTTCTGAAGAAACACGTTAAAAATTCTGTTAAAATATGGATTTTCTTAGATGCCTTGCTTCAACAAACCTGTAGGTATGTGTACCGAACATGCATCTCCAAAATACAATACAAAATATATACTACACATCACAAGCACAGTGGAATTTAGAACAGAAATTAATTGCTTATTAACAAGACATTGCTCCAATCTCATGTATTTTAATCATGTATACCTACCAATTAAGTATACCTGAATTCCTACTGAAAGATCAAAACTCAAAGAAATGATTCAGGATAAAACAGAAGGTGATGATTGCCAATTCATAAAAAGGTACATAACATCTTTTCTACAAGAATTAATGAGGTTGGGGGTATTGCTCAGTGGTAAAGTGTGTGCCTGAATGTGATCCCCAGCACCAAAAATAAAAAAGTAATGTGATTCAATTCAAACTGATTCAAACCTGGAATTGGTGGTTTACTTCTCCTTATCTGTACATATCCACCCTAAATGTAAGTGTACACTGAACTCACATAGAGAGACACTCACATAGAGAGACAATCTATTTATCTTCTTAACCAATTATCTAAAAGCTGTTTTAAGATACAATTCCAATCAATAATTCATACCAGTTGTCCTAAAATACATTACCAGGAAAACATAATTACCTGATAGCAGTCTCCTTTAAGATTGTCTAAGACGTCACCACATGTTTTTCGCATATATTTCTTACATCCATCAATCACCATTTGGTCAATGTCCGAAACAGGTTAAGGAGAATTTAAATGTATCAAAGAATTCTGAAATAGTAACACTATTTTTAAAGAAGGTCAAGACAAAAATGAAGGGATTTTTTGTTGTTGTTATTACTGTTTACTTGTTTTGTTTTGTCTTATTTGGTACTAGGGATTGAACCCAGGGGCACTTTACCACTGAGCCACATCCCCAGCCCTTTTCATTTTGAGAGAGAGTCTAGCTGAGTTGCTTAAGGCCTCACTAAGTTGCTGAGGTTGGCCTTGAATTTGAAATCCTTCTGACTTAGCCTCCTGAGACACTGGGATTATAGGTGGGCACCATCGAGTCTGACAAACATAAAGGTCTTATAGGACTTTGAGTATCATAGGCTAAAGAAAGTTGATGACATAATGGTTTTATTTTCACACTAGGAATACTAAAAAAGAAATGAATTTTTTTCTTTTATCTTTAATTTTTGTTCATAATACTGGGAATTAAGCCCAGGGCCTCATGTATGCCAGGCAAGCACTCTACCACTGAGCAACATCCCCAGCCCCCTGAATTTTCTTTTTTTCTTTTTTCTTTTTATGAAATGGCTTAGGGAAACCATTTTGGTAACTGCTAAACAGCAGACAGGGTACCAAAGCCACTTCCTCTTTAATCCTCAACTATGCTATCTCTGCTTCTTTGTTGGTAGCCACATAAAAAGCTACTAGTACTAAACTGAAGCATTTGTTGAAGGCAGTCTATGTAACACGTCTGCCTTTAGTCTGTGGTAATATTAACTTGAGTCTTAAAACACAAAAAGGGAAGAAAAAAAGAAGCCCAGTGAACTTGTTCTTTTATATGACAAAGGATATCTCTACCATAGTGACCATCTTTGGTTTCAGTTTGACTATTTCACATAATATACCCCCATCTCCGCCTCCTAGAATCAGCACATCTTTGCCAGTGT